ATAATTTTCTGCTGCTCCACTGTAAGTTTATATATAGGTGAAGATTGTAAATATTTATCAATATCTTTACTATTTATAGTCTCTGAAGAATATAAATGCGAATAAAATTCAGTAAATGCCTTTTTAATCATTTCTTGTTGGTGAATTTCACGATCTTTGACCAAAACTTTAGATATAAGCCTCGCTTTTTGTCTCTTACATATTTGGTAGGCCAGCCATCTCCCCGGTTTGTTTGCGTTAGCAAATGTATTATGTTTAATATACTTCAAATTGGTGGCCACCTGATCAGCAATTAATAAGTTGAATTGATCTTTAAGCATTTTAATAGAATTTTTTAAGTTAATGTCTGTTGGTCGTTGTAATAATAATTTTTCCTTGATCCCAATTTCTTTTTCCAAGTTAAATCTAATCTGTATTTGCTTGCGTTTATAGGCATTATTCATAGCAATTAGTATTCCCCTTAAATAAGCCTTGCCAGCATCCCAAACAATATTTATAGAAGTTTCCTTGTCCATATTAAGTTGAAAGAACTCTTCCATAGATTCCTTCAAAGCCTTAACTTTATCCTCGTAATTAAACAAATTTTCATTTATTCTCCAAGATTTCCTCTTTGTTTTTTGACCAATCTCCATCCAAACCATACTATGATCAGTCAAAGTTCTAGGGAAAATTTTAGTTTTATTACAGTCAGTAAGTAAATCAGTCGATATCAAAACAAAATCAATCCTTGAGAAAGAATCATGTCTATGAGAAAAAAAAGTAAAATCACGTTCATTGATATGTTGTGATCTCCAAACGTCCATCAATTCTAAATCATCTTTCATAGCAAAAAAGGACTTAGGTAATCTGGAAAGGGTTACATCCTTGGAAGTTGTTTTTTTATCTTTTAACGTATCCAGAACCCCATTCCAGTCTCCCATAACAATCAATAGTCCATCGCCACAATTTTCTGATGTAATTGTCTATAAAATTGCTTTTGAGCTACAAGTTGATTGGGTGCATAAACCCCTATTATTAAACACTTCCTTCCATTCAAATTTATTTCCACAAATAAATATCTTCCTTCTTTATCAGTTTCTTTTAAAATAGGTGAAAGATGTCTTTTGATGTACATTGCAACCCCAGCTCTCTTTTTTAAAGCAGGTGCGGCAAACAGGTCTCCAAGCTTAAAATTCATTAAGAGTTTTTGGTCTTTAGCCACAATGTGAGTCTCTTGTAAGCATGTAATATCATTATTAAAATGTCTTAAATAGTGAAAAATCTTGCGTCTTTTGTGGGGAACATTAAGTCCACCTACATTCCATGATATTAACTTACACATTAGGAGGTTTTATTCCACTGACAATACTAGCCGCATATGATTTCACAAAGACCTTAGGTCGAGCGCCACCTACTGGCTGCGAAGTAGCCGGTACTTGACAATCAGCTGCAGGGGTATCAGCTGGTGGTCGAGCTGTCATCTGTCTTTCCTTTTCCTTGCGTCTATGAGCTGCGCGCGTAATTCTTTGTTCCTTCCCATTAGCTTTTGGACTTTCCTCTAAG